TTAATAACTATATAATTTATACAATATATATTTATAATTATACATAATATATAAATATAAATTGTATAGTTTATATATATTCATATATAATTATATATAATTATGTAGTTTCTATATAGTTCAATAGTTCATATATAAACTATATAGTATTATAGTTTAAACATGGTATATATAGTTTATACATATATATATATAAACTATATAGTTTATATATATATACACATACTTTATATATAAACTATAGTTTTATATATATATATATATATATATATATATATATATATATATATTAGTTGTTTTAATTTTTTCTCAACTTATTACTTATTCTATTTATTAATTGGCCCATAATTTTTAAATGAGTATAATTTAGTACATTTTTATATTAATTTCAACCTCAAAATTTAAAATTATTTCGATTTGATCCCTTTTGTGTTGTTTAATATTTTAATTTTTATTTGTAATTTCATATTTATTCAATTTAGTCTTCAAATTTATTTGCATCTGAAATTGACCCATACTTACTTATTTCTATTTTTAAATTGGTCCATAAATTTTTAAATGGGTATAATTTAGTACTTTTTTGTATTAATTTCAACATCACAATTTAAAATTATTTCGATTTGATCCTCATCAATGTGTGTATAATTTATTTAAATTTTTATTTGTAATTTCATATTTGTTCAATTTAGTCCTCCAAATTTTATTTGCATATGAAATTGATCCATACGTATTACTTAATCCTATTTTTTAATTGGCCCATAACTTTTTAAATGGGTATAATTTAGTACTTTTTGTATTAATTTCAACCTGACAATTTAAAATTATTTCGATTTGATCCCTCATCAATGTGTTGTATAATTTATTTAAATTTTTATTTGTAATTTCATATTTGTTCAATTTAGTCCTCCAAATTTTATTTGCATATGAAATTGATCCATACTTATTACTTAATCCTATTTTTTAATTGGCCCATAACTTTTTAAATGGGTATAATTTAGTACTTTTTTGTATTAATTTCAACCTCACAATTTAAAATTATTTCGATTTGATCCCTCATCAATGTGTGTTGTTTAATTTATTTAAATTTTTTATTTGTAATTTCATATTTGTTCAATTTAATTCTCAAATTTATATTTTTCATAAAATTGAACCATGATTATTTATATTCTTAATAATTTACTCTAAATCATATACAATTACAAATTGCAATTCAACGTTCGTGAAAGAAGAAAATAATTAATCCAAAAATAAAAATTAACTCGATTTGAACTCAATCCGTATCTGATAGAGATCCGACCTGAATTTTATCTGCCAATGATGCGACCCGATCTGAACGAGATCCGCCTGAAGTCTATCCGAACCTGAATTAACCTGTTTTTTAACTGCTTCGGACCTGAATTGTTTTGACCTGAACTGGCAACGATCCGAACTGAAAATGACCTGACCTGAACCCGATCTGGATCTGGTGTCAAATCAACCTGAAAATAACCCGAACTGATTTGACCTGACCTGAACCCGATCTGGATCTGGTGTTAAATTTACCTGACTTGACCTGTATCCGATTTTACCCGACCTGCCAGGATCCGACTGAAACCTGAACGATTACCCGATTTTACAACCCTATCCAGTTACACCTAATATTGATTAATAAAGCATAGGATTCTTCCAAATCTAATTCAATTATAATATTTGTATGTTCTTAATGGATAATGTATCAAATTACGGAAGGACCGTAACAACCTCCACTCTACCCAGAAGTTAAATCGGATAAAGAATGCTACATTTGATCAATGTAACAATTTCTAGTCAGCAGACATAATTGTTTATCGATTTGTGTTAAGAGAAGTTGTGAGCATATTGTCGTTTAATGATTAACTTATATCCATGGTAATTATCAAGTAATGCTAGATTTAATTCAATGAACAATATCATTCAAACTTGAAATTATCATATTTCAAACATTTCTTTAGAGTATTTCAATGCTCATATAATTGTAAGGGTCCATTAGTTACAATCAGGTTTCATGTAAATCAATTAGTATACAGACGAGGTTCTATAATTAACATTGACTGATATTGTGTAAATCTAGTTGTAAAATTATTAATTTACCGTAATTTAATACTTCACAATCTCACAACTTAATATATATGGTCTAGGGTGCTCTTATTGTCCCATCTTATGTGAACATGAATCCTAGTATTTGCCTTGAAAATATAGTATCTCTCTACTTATATATATATATGAGTTAAGATCCACTTACACAATGTAAAAACAAAATAAAAATTACATTTCCTACCGTTGATCTCAGTCATCTATTTTCACTCATCCAATATATATATATAAATTAAACATAACCAACTTATATTCATGCATTGGACCCATTGAGTGGCTTTAGTAGTAAAAGAAAATGTTCTTCTTGAGGGTATGGGTTTGAGTAGCTATATTTGCGGGATATGCATCGTTAATGACTAAGAAAGATTCCGAACAAGTGTTACCTTATAATCACCCCAAACCATATAAAAAAAACTTATACCCATGCTTTATTTCCATGAAAAAACAATCCCCTAATTTACTATTATCCTTACACATGTTTTAGCTAACATATTCCAACATACAAGAGTACAAATTAGATCAATTTATAGTTATTGCTTTCGAGTTCAAAGGCTGTTATAATTCAACATATGGATTTGCAAATTAGACTTAATTATCAACCCATACATTTGTTTTTGTACCAAATCACTTTCCTACATATTTGGAAATCTAACATGTCATGAATTCATCGAGTGACTTTAGTGGTAAAAAAAATATTGTTCTCGCTATAGATCTTGAGTTCGAATAACTGTGTCTGTAAGGTGCGTGTACGTTGTCAATAAATAAATAAATAAAAGTTCTGAACATATATTAACTTATAATCATCTCATACTATTAAAAAAATAACAACATATCAGTACTTAAACATGACAATCTCTTTACGCACTATTTTGATACCTAAACAGCTCTAAGACAACTCCGAGACAACCAATACACCAGCAAAACGTAGCATATTATTTTCTCTAAATTTCCAGAAATTCAATCTCACAATCTAACATCAATAAACTAATCCAAAACAATATACAAATATTCCAAAGTAGTATCTTAATTAGGGATAGTAATAAAAATACAAGGTCGTAATATTTGGACCTAAATTGAGCATGTCCTTATTCATGTAATAAAACAAATGGGACCTAAAAAAGTAATGTTTTGGTCATTTATATTGTTGATTTATTATTTTTTTAGTCACTTATGTTATTGATTATTACATTTTGATCGCTAACTTGTTAAATTCTGCTAGTTTGGTAATGTGACGCATTAGTAAAAGGGGATAATTTTTAATTTGACCCCCTAAGCTTTAGATAAAATAATAGTTGGACCTCTAAATTTTAGATGAAATATCATTTTGACTCCTAAATTTTAGATAAATTAATATTTAACCCCTAAATTTGAATGAGGTCTTCCGTCATCAGTCGCCACTCATCAATGTCGTCACCTATTGGCATCGATCGCTGTAGTCAATGACTATTATACCCCAAAGTTTACGGTTCACTCATTTTTATCTCATAAACGTAAATCATGTGTTAGTTTCATCAGAAAATACTTCGAACTCAACAAATCTAGCCTATAATCCTTTGAGTTTCTTTAAAATTAAACTATAATAATAAATTCATCATTAATATTGCTTAAAAAATAAAGACACCAAAAATATGAATCTATATCATAATCAAATGAATATTTTCATTATAAAACATTATGTTATAAATTTTTGTTATGTTTATAATATTAATTATAAATTTTTAGTATTTATAAATATTATTTTATGAAATTTTAATATTTAAACTAACAGTAACATTGAGACTATTTTACATATTTTTGTTTTATATTTCGTTATACGCGGTTGATGATAAGTGTTCAATATTTTGATAAAAGAAAAATAAATTAAAATTTAAGCTCCTAGAATTTAAGTCCAGTAGTTACAAAAATCAGTCATATTACTTTACCGTTACAATTAGATTGAAGCTTCATCATCGTTACCAAAAACTAGGCATCGTTTTGTATCAATTCATTAATATTTTAATAATAATAATAATAATAAAATCAATTTATAAATAGGGAGTTAGCTTCTCCCAAAGACCCCTCTAGAGAGAAGATAAAACAAAAATGACCACAAATTGATCCAAACAGAATTAGAACATCCGATTCATCAAGTCTATAAAAGCAGGCGAAGTATTTATGAGTTCAAATAACATAACTAAGAACTTGTGATGCCCATAACAAGCAGAATAGTCTCGTAGAACGTAGGCATCAAATAGTCACACTAAAATGATTCGTTTTCTCCATGTATCAAATTGTTTGGATTTTAATAGTCTAGTGACATAATTGAAATTAAAATTAAAGTTCAGTGTTATAAATAAAAAAAATAAAATTTTATGAGTATAAACGACCAATAAAGTAGAATTATTGAAAATTAAAAAAATGTGATATAAAAGATATAGAAAAAATAATGAATATTGATGGTCAGTGACCAACATCAAAAATTTCATATAATTGTTTTTTTAAAACATAAATTTGAAGATAATTCTTTTTTTAAAACATAAATTTCAGATAATTCTAAAATAATATATAACACATGTATATAAATAATAAATATTTATCTTGTATAGAATATCATTAGATTGGACATGGAAATAAAACTGCTAACCCCAACCAAAAAGATATGGTTTGCCTTTACGTAAGTATGAAAAGAGGCCAAGTTGAAGAGACAATGCGATAACAGAAACGAGAAACGGGCCAACATTTATCGTTCACGCCTATTGTTTGGCCCTTACACAGAAATTCCAAGTCATCTTTCACAGTCACGGTAGCTGCACTGCATTAAAGAGCTTTAATTAATGGAGGATAGAGATAATCAACTGAATATACATTCCAGTCTCGATCGGCCTTTTTTTATCGACTTTAATCTAGCAAAAGCAAAAAGCAAAGGAGAAAGCTTAATCGTACTTCAATGGAGGAAATTAGCATAGCCGAGCTCAGGGAAACTTTCGAAAGCGGGAGAACTAAATGTGTTTCATGGAGGAAGAAACAGCTCAAGGCTTTACTTGACCTCGTAAGTGAAAACGAGGACTCCATTTTCAAAGCTTTGGATCAGGATCTGGGAAAGAGTCCAGTTGAATCATATAGAGATGAGGTGATGAGCTATATATATACATACATATACATATATTGATTTTGATTTTTTTATTGTTATATATAATTCCATGCAGGTAGGGGTTGTAAAGAAATCAGCCACCTATAGTTTGAGCTGCCTCGACAAATGGGTGGCCCCTAAGAAGGTTTTGCTGCAGCTCTGAACCAATCCTCTCATCTTTCTTCTTTTCCTTTTCCTGTTACTCTTACAGCCAATACTTGTCTTTGTTTATGGGGGTTCAGGGTGATTTATCGTTGCTTTTATTTCCTTCAAAAGCAGAAGTGATACCTGAACCTCTCGGTGTAGTTCTGATTTTTGTAGAATCAAAATAGAGTAAAAACTCTAATTGATTGAGAATAAGAAAAACTCTTTAGAATAATCTCACAAAATTGCAAAAGGGAAGAACTCTTAAGAAAGCTTTCAAATGCTTATAATTAAGCTTTGATTGTTGGATGATAAAACTCAAATACAAGTAGGGTATTTATATGTTATAAGAAACAATCTAAACCACTCATTAAAATAAGCACTAAATAATCTAAACCATTGAAATTAAAACATGAGAAAAATACTTAATTTTTACCTAACTAAATTGATGTAAGCAATGACATCAAAACTAAATTGATGTAAGCAATGACATCAAATTAATTTAGGTGTGAACTTATTTAGGCTATTTTCAACACTCCCCCTCAATGTTAGCTTCCATTCTTTGAATCACGCCATGCTGACGACGAAAATGTTCAAACTTTCCAACACTCAAGCTTTTTGTAAACAAGTCAGCAATTTGCTCATCTGTCTTGATTTGCCTCATCTCAATCTCTTCTTGCAAAACTTTTTCCCTAACAAAGTGGTAATATACTTCCACATGTTTAGTTCTTGCATGAAAGACATGATTCTCCACCAGCCGAATTGCCGATTAGTTGTCACAATACAACGGAATTGCATAATCTACTGGTTGATGTAGATTATTCATCAACTGTATCAACCATGTACTCTCTTGAACTGCCATTGCTGCTACTCGATACTCAGCTTCAGTGGTTGACAATGATACCGTTGGTTGTCTTTTGCTACACCAAGAAATTGTTCCGGAGCCAAGCTTAAACATATATCTAGTTGTTGATCTCCTGGTGTCATAATCTCCTGCATAATCAGCATCACAATAACCAACTAACTTGCAGTCTTCACCTTTCTTGTACAAAAGACCATAGTCAATTGTATTCTTCACATATCTCAGTATTCGTCGAACTGCTTCCAAATGAGGCTTCTTTGGATTTTGCATATACCGACTCATCACACCAACTGCATAAGAAATGTCAGGTCGGGTCAAGGTTAAGTAGATCAGACTACCTACCAATTGTCGATACATTGTTGCATCTTCCAAATCTTTTCCTTCATGTGCACACATTTTGATATTTGGTTCCATTGGCGTTGAAGTTGACTTGCATTCGAGCATTCCAAACCTCTTCAACAAATCTTTAGCATATTTCTGTTGATATAGAAATATTCCTTCGTGTGTGCGATCAACCTCTAGACCAAGGAAGTGCTTAAGTTGTCCAAGTTCCTTCATCTGGAAACGAACTGATAAATTCTCCTTCGACTGAAGAATTTCTACCTCATCATCACCGGTTATGATTAAGTCATCCACGTACACTAGCACGATAGCTAGCTTACCTTCATTGGCTTTGACAAACAAACTAGAATCTGCAGGTGTTACTGAATAACCACTTTTCGTTAGAAATTCAGCAATCTTACCATACCACGCCCTAGGTGCTTATTTCAATCTGTAGAGTGCTTTTCGTAGCTTACACACATATTCAGGATGATCTTGACTCTGAAAACCCATTGGTTGGGTCATGTAGATCTCTCGATCTAGTTCTCCATGAAGAAAAGAATTCTTCACATCCATCTGCCACAAGTTCCAGTCTTTGTTGGCTGCAAGTGCAAGTAAGACTCGTATGGTTGTAAGTTTCGCCACTGGACTAAATGTTTCATTATAGTCTAGTCCATACTGTTGAGAGAAACCACAAGCTACCAATCACGCTTTGTACCTCTCGATTGACCCATCTGGACGACGCTTTATCTTGTAAACCCATTTGCAAGATATGGGTTTCACATATTTTATCTTTGGTACAATATCCCAAGTTTGATTTTGCTGAAGTGCATCTATCTCTTCTTTCATAGCTGTCATCCACTCAGAACTCTTCGATGCTTCTTCGAACGTTTCAGGCTCCGTTGCTTCTTCAATTATGGCTGCATTGGCATATTTGGGATTTGGCCTCTGTATTCTTGTTGACCTTCGGAGTTGAGATTGTGGAATTGATTATTCTGTTTCACTAGGTCCACCTTCTTCGTTTGGTTATTGATATACGCCAGTTTACCAAGGATTCTGAGTCACTCTTTGTTCGACATCATCGCCATTTGGATTTTCTGATTCATCTGAACTTGTTTGGAGTTGAACAGCATGCTCCCCCATCTTTTATTGTAGCTTGTCTCTAAATTCTCTTGAATCTGGCAACACCTCCTTCTCTGAGGACCACCAAGAAGATGTTTCATCAAATACCACATTTCGTGACGTGTAGCATCTTCCACTAATTGGATCACAACATTTTCACCCCTTTCTCTGGCTTGGTTGAGGAAGTCTGTTGATCACAAAGGCTGCAGTCCTCATTGCTTCAGCCCAAAACCTTCTAGGTACATTCTTTGCATGTAGCATACTTCGACAAATTTCTGCAAGATGCCGGTTTTTTCTTTCCGCTACACCATTCTGTTGTGGCGTGTTGGCACAAGTGTACTGATGACGTATTCGGCATTCCCTTAGGTATTGAGAGAACTCGTTTGATCTATATTCTTCTCCGTTGTCTATGCGCAAGCAACATATCTTCTTTCCCACTTCTCCTTCAGCTGAGTATATGAACTCTTTAAACTTTGAGAAAGTATCAGATTTTTCTTTCATAAAGAAAACCCACACATACCTGGAGAAGTCATCAATGAATGTTACCATGTACCGTATACCGCTAATTGATTATTACTTAACCGGTCCGAACACATTAGAGTGAACCAACTCCAACAATTCTTTTGCTTTAAACTTTGACTCGTCATATGGTAATTGGTGTGCTTTACCATACTGGCATCCCGCACATACCATGTCTGTTCTCACGTCTAGTTGAGGAAGCCATTTAAGCATCGACTTTTTCACCATCACACTTAGCTTGGAATAGCTAACGTGACCTAACCGCATGTGCCATAGATCTGATGTCTCATTTTTCCTTGTCCTGTATACATATGCAGACTCTGCTGACATCACATAAATTGATTCCAAACGTCGTCCCTCCATTGTTGGTGTTTCTGAGATTTTGACGTCACGATAAACCTTCACGTCTTGGGGACCAAATAAGACATAATGGCTTGATGATGTTAGTTGAGTCACATATAGCAAAATTTTCTTCATTACTGGGACATGGTAAACATCTTGGAGTTGCACTTGGTTAGTTTTTTATCGAGGTATAACTATTGTCTTACCGATGTGAGTTATCGATAACCTTGAGTTGTCAGCTGTCACCACCACACAACCTCCATTGTACTCAGACATGTTTTGCAACTTCTGTTTGTCACCCGTCATATGATTTGAGCAGCCAGAATCTACGATCCAATCATTCTTGTAGTCAATCCGTTCTGGTGTTTTTACCGTGAGAGCTAATTCTTCTTCCTCCGTAACAAATAACGCTTCAGCATCCCAACCATCTTCACTATTCTCCTTCGTACAAGAAGTAGCAGTATTACTTTCAACAGGCTTTTTCTTGGTCCAACAGTCTTTTGCCATGTGACCCATCTTCCCATAGTTATAACACTTGCCATCGAACTTTCTACTATTACCGCGATTCTTGGATGCTCCCCCTAAATGAGGGCCTCCATTTCCTTGGTAATTTTTCACCTTGTCACCATCTTTTTTAGATCCACTGCCAGTATACCGCTGAAAAGTGCCTCTACTTTTGCTGGTGTAGAGTGCTTCCTCTTCACCCTTCAGCGAGACTCCTCCCATTTGCTTGGTCATGGCTTCTTGACCTGCAAGCAAATTTTCGAGCTCGGCCATCCCTGTATAGCGACAACAAACCCTCGATATTCGGGTCTCAAACGATGGACAATTATTCTTTTTATCCTGGCTTTCCCAATAGAAGCTGTCGGATCTAATTCTGAAATTTCGCGACATATCGATTTACCTTGTGAAAGTATTGGGCAACCGCCATGTCGCGTTCCGCCATTGATAGAAGTTCATTCTCGAGAAGTTGCAATTTTGTATCGTTCCTCTTCGAAAAGAGTGTAACAAAAGTGTCTCATGCTTCCTTTGGTGTTTTAGCATCCCGAATGTGCTCTAATATTTCTTCTTCAATTGTAGTCTTTAAAGCAAACTTTGCTTTGCTTGCTTTAATTTTCCACTTTCGCAAGATTTCATTGGCATCTTCTATCGCTGGTTGTGTAACTTCACCACCACCAACAACCTCCCAAAGGTCTTGACCTTGTAAGTATGACTCCATACATGTTGCCCACGTGTTGTAGTTTTTGTTGTTGAGCTTCTTGATTCCTTCAACTACTTGAAGATCACCCATCTTAACGGCAAGGCTTTGACTACACCGAAAAAGCTTGAGTAACAAACGTGCAGAGTACTAAATTACTCTAAACACAAAGAAACTCCACAAGGTTTGTAATAACCCTGACAATAACTCAAGAAATATTTTCTGATGTGGAAGATCAGTTAAAAACTGCAGCCACAGAGCATACTCAGAATTTCAAGAGACCTTAAAAACGTGACTCGGATACCAATTATAGAATCAAAATAGAGTAAAAACTCTAATTGATTGAGAAGAAGAAAAACTCTTTAGAATAATCTCACAAAATTTCAAAAGGGAAGAATTCTTAAGAAAGCTTTCAAATGCTTATAATTAAGCTTTGATTGTTGGATGATAAAACTCAAATACAAGTAGGGTATTTATAGGTTACAAGAAACAATCTAAACCACTCATTAAAATAAGCACTAAATAATCTAAACCATTGAAATTAAAACATGAGAAAAATACTTAATTTTTACCTAACAATGACATCAAAACTAAATTGATGTAAGCAATGACATCAAATTAATTTAGGTGTGAACTTATTTAGGCTAATATTGAATTTTCAACAATTTTCTCATCTTGGAATTTCCCAATCAGTGAGTTCTCTTTTTTTAGCCAAGAATTGTGCCTACTATTAATGATTTTTAAGTTTTGATGTTACACTCTATGCGGAAGATGAAATGCCAGGTCCCTCCTACAGGGATGGAAACAAGATTTTTTGTTTAAAG